AAACCAAAGCCACCCACAACACACACCCCGGGAAATAGTTAGGGAGGTGGAATGGATGCAGTCAGACAACCAGAGGGGGACATGGGGAGCGACATGCTGTAGTCCAGGTCAGACAACACACACACAGCGGTAGGGCTGAGGTAGCAGGGCAACACTGGCCTTTAACACAACCTCTGGGTAACATAACATACAGTAAACCAGAACAGCTAGATAACTTACCAAAACAACAATCAACATCTTCTTCTTCTTTAGTGGAAAGATGACGTAAATCCACCTATTTACTCCGTGGTTGAAAGGCACTGTACACGGAGAAGTTGACTTTTTTGTCTGCCTGTCACAGAATTCCAATAAGTGAATCATTGTCTATTTCACAATATGATAATAGGGTGAACAATGCTAGCAGTCACCAGGGCAGAGGATGAAGTTGACTTGCAGTTGGTCTCTCACTACTTTGTATTGAGCTGTCTGTCTAGCCACCTCATAATCTGAGTTATGATGGGCCTGCATTATTGATGTTAGCTGCGTCCCAAATTACACCCCATTCTCTATATTGGGAATAGGGTGCCATTTTAGACTCAGCTTCTGTCTCTGAACACAAGCAAGCACCATAACAGTCCATAATCTGGACGTGGGGAGGGGGTGACCCAGTTGCCCCCGCATGTGTGTGTATGTGCGTGTGTATGTTGGCGTCTGTCCTCTTCCTTACCACCATTCCCCTAGAGAGGAATCAATACTGACAGAAGCCTTAAGGTAAAGACCAACAGGAGAGAGAGAGGAGAGGAGAGGAGAGGAGAGGAGAGGAGAGGAGAGGAGAGGAGAGGAGAGGAGAGGAGAGGAGAGGAGGGAGAGGAGAGGAGAGGAGAGGAGAGGAGAGGAGAGGAGAGGAGAGGAGAGGAGAGGAGAGGAGAGGAGAGGAGAGGAGAGGAGAGGAGAGGAGAGGAGAGGAAAGGAAAGGAAAGGAAAGGAAAGGAAAGGAAAGGAAAGGAAAGGAAGGAAAGGAAAGGAAAGGAAAAGGAAAGGAAAGGAAAGGAAAGGAAAGGAAAGGAAAGGAAAGGAAAGGGGAAACAGGAGAAGGGGAAGTAGGGGAAAAAGAATTAAAGGAAAAAGGGGAAAAGAAAGGGAAAAAAAACACACAGCCAGGGGGAAGCTGAGAAGGAGGGAGAGACAGGAGGAGGGAAAAAGAGAGGGGGGGAAAACAGAGAGGAGGAAAAAGGGGGGGGAAAAAAGAAAGGGGGAGAAAAGCCCCTTTTGGGGGAGGGACCTCGGCATTTTAAGTTTTCCTGAAAAAGTTTGCAGAAAAAAAAATTTTGGGGGTTTTTTTTTGGGGGGGGGGGTTTTTTTTTGTTGGGTGTAAAAAAAAATTGATTTTGGTAAAAAATTGTTAAAAGGTTGTGGTAATTATTATTTTTCCCTTGGGGATATTTCTTTTTTTGGGGGATCCAGGTTTTTTTTAAGGGGTTAACTTTTTCATACTGTGGTGGATCTAGGATTTCATACGTTATTTGTCTTTTCATATTGGGGATCAGTATTTCATATTGGGATTTTTTTTTTTGGTAACCTAGGTTTTTCAAAAGGGTATCTTCTAAATTTACTTGGGGTTTTTTAACATTGTTTAAATTTAAAATTTTTTGGGGAAAAAATTTTTTATTGGGGGTGGCTATATTTTTTTTTTACTGTTAATTTTAAAAA